CTAAAATTATGTTCAACTAAAAGTGTGCTGCTTTAATTCACTCACCTAATCATTGGCTTTATGCATACAAAGTTAATTTATTCTTATAAAGGAAATTCATTTGATGGTAGATTCATGCTCTCGGATTCCTTCTATAAACTTTGAAAAGTCTTCATCAAGCTTACAAATATCAACACACTCCTCGTTCTGAAAAGATTACATCAATGTTATCATTACAAAGTCACTAGAGTTCATGAGAGCATATCTATCATCGTTGAACACTTGATGAATCAAGCTTGTTAATGATTTATCTAAGCATACAGAGTTCATGAGAGCATATCTATCATCGTTGAACACTTGATGAATCAAGCTTGTTAATGATTTATCTAAGCATACAGATATTGAAGCTATTTGTGGTATGTATGAACCAAACCCTTCTCGCCAAGTATATGAAGTAATATTGGCTTTACAGCTTGATGAAATGCAATTCTTATCACACACTAAATTTTTTTTAGCATACTGTAGCAACTCAAAATATTACTCCACAAATCTCTATTCTTACAGCAATATAAGGTCATTTGCATGTCTAGAAGTATCAACTTGAACTTCCAGCGATTTATGTAGATTTGCAGGGCTAAAATTAGCACCTCATTTATCTTGCTTGAAATAATAAGAAACACATCATGATATTTCTTCTCCTAGGAGAGTTTCTGATTAGCCGCATCAACAAATGAATAGGTATCATGAGAATAAAAAATTTATAGATGAGTTTTCTTAAATGCTGGTACAAACCCATAAAGCTCTACTTAAAAACTGTACATGTATTCCAGATGTTCCACCCGAAAAAATCCTCCATGACACAACTTATCAGTCATAATAGGCTTAAACATCACTAGCATAGTATAGAGACACGAAGCAATTATCATCCATTCAAACAATCCATGTTTTGGCCTAAACATAGTCTTCCACATATCTTCCTGCAGTCAAACATGGGGGTAGCCTAATTTCAAATTCAACTTTGTAAAGATTGAAGCATGCTTCAAGTTTTCCCTAAATCTAGCAAATCATCCAATTGGGGAAGTGGATACAAATATTCTTCACCGTGATCTTATTTAGTACCAACTAATATACACACACATCTAATAATCAATATTTTTATTTGGAGGCATCAAATGATCAAAGAGCCACAAAGTAAGGTTCTTAATTTGTGACTCATTCATCATACAATTCAACCACTTGCTTCTCAATCTCATCATTCTCCATCATAGAATTTTTATACATTCAGATATTGGCTAGAAATAGTCTAAGAGAAGGTTAATCTTATGCTCCATTATTCATTGCAAAAGTAACCCTTTTCAACTCTCAAAAAAGCGATTTGTAGTTGTGTACTAGTAGCTACAATCTCAATCATCATTCTCTGTGCACTAGGTTCAGTGCTTGTCCTATTTCTTCCCAGTAATTTTCTTCTTTTCATCGAAGGAGAAGGCCTAAGCATTACCATAAGGCTTCTCTCTGGAAAAAAGGGAAAGATAAAGTGTTAACACGTGCTTATTGTCCTCTTCACCAATCCAGCTGCCATCAAATGTCAAGAGGAATCCCTTCACACAACCTCATTGATGTAACCAGAAAAATGGAGAAGCAGACATAACATTTTTTTATCTACATCTGCAACTCGGAATCCTTCTAAATCCATCCTACTGGATAAGGATGCATAATAAAAGTTGACTTAAGGTTCTCTCAACCACTAGACAAGCTGAGAGCAATTTCCTTTAACTTACCCGAGTCAAAAAATGCATTGACCACTTCATGCTTAACTTGGATACGTCATACGTAAGGTGAAAAGCTACTCACAACCATTATGATCGGTGTTGTAGTAAGCTATTTCCCTTCAACAATGTCATCAAAGGAAAGCTATCCACTACCAAAGACGCCTTGTTTCCTTTTTGCATTTTTTTTAACTTTTACATGAACATTTTCAAATAAAGTTTTTAACTTTTTGCTCTAGCTTGTCCCCAGATCAAGAAAAAACCACAATGTAGGTGACTTTTAAGCATAATTTTTGAAATTACTTTCATCAAAAACCTTTTAGTTCTAATTACTCTCGGCAACCTTTGAACCCAATAAAGGCTACCTCAGTTCTAATTATTTTTCTTAATGGACAAAACAAATATGCTTGCCTGATTGAGACATTCAATAGAGAAAAGCAAATTGTTAGAAAAATTATAATGCAGCTGTGTCACGTATGCTGCCAATGTGGAGATACCTTCCAACTGCACACCAATCATCGAGGCTTATCTCATGAACTATGTTGTGTAATCTTGCATGACTTAAGCTGTAATTTATCACAACCTATGCCGCCGATCATTCTTACTCATATTCATAGGGCTGAGCTCAAGGCTGCGCAATTTCTTGAATTGACCCAAGTGGTATTTTGCTTCCATGCAAAGATGAATATTCCACCAAGAGTGCATGCCCAATGACTTTGAGATGAGTAACGAAACCTACTTTTGAGAAGTATATTCATAGAGACTAAAATAGGTTTCAAGTTAATACATATCAATAGAACCATTAAATGTGTAGATTTTGGCTTGTACCTTGAAAATTGGGTGTTGCTCTCTAAATAAAAACTTGAAATCCCCATCTTCTAAGTCATCTTCTAGCATATCAGAACTCCACTAACTCGTTACAATTGTGATGATGAGATCTTTTTTTTGGAAACAAAATTCCCTCTATTCCACTTCATAACTCGCCATATGATATAGTTACACAACATCTACAATCATCTATTATTGAAGAAGCGCCACTTGGTTGGCCAAGTCATCAGAGGTTTCTCCCTACACCATCAACAACTCGACTTTCTCTTCTTGAAGGATCTAGATTCAAGAAAATTCCTTTGATCTTCTCCCTTTTTTTATTTTTTTTATTTTTTAAGAGTGGATTATTATTATTTTGGGTTATTGAAATAATGAGAAAAAATCAGAAAATGTGACATGGAGAAAAAAATACTCTCCAATCACTAAGCTCTAAAATGGAGATCTAATCATGATAGAGTTTATTATAATTTCAAATCAGCACACGAAAGTACTTTAGAGCCAGTTCTGAATATTTAAATCAAAACTAACAATCAGCAATACTGTAGATCAGCCCTCCAAATCAGCACACGAAAGTACTTTAGAGCCAGTTCTCACTACAGCCAACAGTTCAGCTGTCCTTCAAGATAAGATCCTTGCCAAGATCTTCTAAAATCGTTTGACCTTCTTACGACTACATTTCATCAACACCATGCACTTGTGTTTTTTTCTGAAGCTAAAGCTCTAATGCCAAAAACATTAACCACCAACAAGACATTGAAATAAGGTAAGTCCCAAAAATCCTAATTTGTCTCTCTAAAACAAGAATGCTCCCCCTCTACGTCAGTCTCTATATACTCTAAATTCAAAACAATGATCCAAAAATAAAGCTCACTCTAATTCCTCCAATTAGAACCCTTTATAATAGCAGAAAAAGTCAATAACAATAGGAAAGCAGGTAAGAATATAGATTACAAAAAATGTAACTTTAAAAGCTGAATTTACAAAGTATTAAGGATGTCAAAAATTGACCCGACACCCCAACTCGATTTGAGCCTGACTCGAAAATCTGTGTTCGGGTTGACCTGAAGAACTTTCGATTCAGATTGGGGTTAAGATTTATAACCCATTTAATATTTGGGTCAGGTTCAGGTTGACCCGCTAACTCAAAAATGACCCAAAACTGACCCACCAACCTGAAATTTACTCAAATTTGGCCCGTTTACCCGAAATTGACCTAATATTGACTCGAAATTGACCCAATTTTGACTCGATTTTGACCCAAATAATTGTTACCCTTATATTAAACGGGTTAAATGGGTCGGATACGGGTTACCCATGTTTGGGTCTATTAGGGTTCGGGTTGAGATTTTCAACCCGTATAATATTTGAGTCGGGTTTGGGTTGAACTTATTCGGGTCATGTCAGTTTCAGGTCGAATCCGAACCCAAATCTGACTCACAAACTCAAATTGACACTCCTAAAAGATATGACGAAGATTGTGGTACTGACTTTGTGGATTGTCGGTACTATAATAGCATCATAATTGCTTGACAATAATCTCGATCAACGAGCCTGTCGGCTCTTAGGCATTTTCTTGAGATTTTGTTTCTAGGTTTCTCTTGACCTTAACTTCTCCCAAAAACATCCCAATCTTCTCGAGGCTCATCTCACATTACAATAATTCACTTGATAGTCACTTGGTAGTCCCCTTCTTTGCTTTCCAATCCTAATGACTTATCCTCCACAAATTGTCGAACCACTAATCTCCTGATCGAAAACCTATGCTAACGTGAGGAATTTACATGTAGAAAGAAATTAAAAAATTAAGCACTCGACCATATCACAAATTATTTTGGACAAATTCATCATCAAGAGCCTATAGTAAAAATATAACACCAAAAAATCAATCACCTTATGGATAGGCATCAATTCATCTTGCAGAAAATAAGATTGATCTTTCAGTAGTTAACCATAGAATTCTGTACAGAAAGGAAATTTCAAGAGAATTAAACAGGGATGCTTCAAACGGTAATGGTATATTTCTTAGCCATAGAAACTGTGACAAGGAAATCCAAGTCAATTGAAGATCCGATAAAATGCAATCGAAAGGTGATATATAACTCAGGTATAATAAGGACTGATGTTATGCAGACCACCAAAATCATTCCCTATGTTTTTGAGCTAGAATTGTCAGAGAAATAAGATCAACAGGAAATGTGACAATAAAGAACCAGAATAAGGGCATCATATCCAATGCAAAAGGCTCTCCACCATGAAGAGATAGAGGAAGTGTTGATTGCATGGCCTTGCTCTACGTAATAGAAGTGGTTTCCATATTGAAAATGGCGCAGAAAACCACAATTTGGCAATCAAATCAATGCTCTCTTTTAGGGGAAAAAAAATTAATAAAAATAAAAATATCTGAAGGCCAAAGTGCATGCAGCTCACCTATTCACATCAGACTTGTCCAGAAACTTCAGCAGACTCTGGCCTACACTTGAGATGGACAATAGGTCCCAACTCTGACCGTTCTAAACCTTCAATGTCCCCATTTGGAGCATTCAGGTATACTGCTCCCCTATACATCCACTCCTCAGTCTCATCACTATAAAAATCCTCAAAAGGTTCCCCACATAAAGCACAGAACGTCTGATTCTCATCTGCAGGAACTGCCAATTCCGTTTCTTCCTTTTTCTCTGGGACTGCCTCTGCGGGTAAAAAACCAGGAACTGCATCAGCTCCAAGCGTTTCTGCACCACAGTGCCATTCCTTAGCACTAACAAACCACTTGCGTGAAGGCTTCTGCTTACGATTCTTCGAAATTCGGTTTTTAGTTACATGCCAATCCATATGGTTACTATGATCCTCTTGGCAAGTAAAACGTAAGCCACATGTAGTACATTGTCTTGTAAGTTCTGTATACATAGCATTTATTGCAGATTCATGACGAATCTTAAGAAGTTCAGCATTAAACTCGAGGCCCACAGTATTCTGAAACATAATACCAACAAGCTGAGAACAAAAAATACACTTTTCAAACAAATGAAAATGATTCACAAACCGATATACCTGAGACTGAGATGGAGGTGTCAACGAAATCAAACCTTGTGCCATAAGTGAATTGATCAATCCTGAAAAACCACTAACTGAAGATTGTGATGCTGCTGAACAACTGTTTTGGGATGAAGGTAGTGGCTGTGATGACAATGGAGGTGGTCCAGGAGGTAAAGGAGGCATGCCTGTACGTCCATGTAAGGACATATCAAGCATAGGCTGTAGTGAAGAGACAGACACTCCAGAAAGAGGATTTGGCAAAATAGAATCCAAAACACCACTTTGTCCGTTAGGCCGTATGCCACTTGGAGGTCGAGCTAGTAGCGGCGGAATAAAGCCTCCATGAGACTCCTGCAAAGTAACTTGCATGAGCAAATCATGTTCCCGACTATGTGAATTCACATGAATTTATTGAGGCAGCTGATAAGGTACCTGGAATGGCTGCCTTAATAATTGTCTACCATTTGCATCAAATTGCAGCTGAGGCAAAGGAACAGAGAAATTTTGTTGCTGCTTGCCAATTGGCACGTTATTATCCGCCAGTAGGTTAGGAGTGGAAAGTAATTGTAAAGGCTGAGATCTATGGGTTGGAGGCCATGTTACTGGAGCAAGAGGAGTCTCGCGTGCTTTTTGAGTAACTAATGTTGACATCTCCATACTTGGAGTATCGGTGGTAGCACTAGATAACTTCAAAAATGGCATGTCAGCATTGTGAGAGTTATCATAGAGACTATTCCGTTTCTGAGTTACAGAAGGCGTTACTCCGCTAACCAAATAAGGCAACTGAAATGGCCTTCCTTCAGACTTTGGGCTAAGATTATCTGGCGTGGAATGGTGGAATACATGTGGCAAATATTCATGCTCCTGAACCAGCTGAGAACTCTCGTGACGTCGTAACTGCTCAATGGTGCCTCCTGTATCATCGAGATACATCTCATTCATTGGTCCAATACCATACTGCAAAAAGAATCGATTAATAAAAGAAATTACTAAACTATTACCTCAATGTAAAAACACTCTCTCCAACATCAAATTCTTTTTAAGCAACAATATTAAAACTATATGTAAACATAAGAAAATTGTTGTGCAATATCAAGTTAATGACTGAAAAGCAGAATGCAAATCATAAATCTGGATAAAAATAAATTGAAAGAAAACAAGTAGTTCAATGATTAGGCATGCAGCAGAATATGGAAATACAGACATTTGCAAAACCAAAAAAATCAAATACCACCCATTACCCATAAAATGGTTCTTTTCTAATATCAATATATTAAAATCAAATACTGGTTTTACAATGAGACCATTTGCTGCAAAATTTCAAGGAAAAATGTCTGCAAGTAAGACAAGAAGCATACATCTCGGATGGCAATTCTTTCATCAAAAGTAGTTGTTGAATCTTTGATTGGTGGAACAGGCCAACTGCGTCTTCTAAAATCAGATTTCTCAGATATGATACCTGGTCTACTAGAATTAGCTCTTAAGCCAAAGTTCTCGGTGCTCGATTCAAATAGCGTGCTGCTCCGTTTGCTTGGATCTGCCAGAGTAGGACTCATATTCTCCCACACATACTCCTCTTCCTCGGAATTCTGCCAATCCATTTTCTGTGCTTTACCCTTTATGCCATTTACATTAATACGCTGAATCTTCGGAAAACTCTCATGAAGGGAGTCTTTATCTCTATAATTACCATAGGCATCAATGAGCTCTCTTTGGCGCTGCCTTCCATATCTACTGTAAGTCGTGAGGGCAACAGATTGCTGGACACCGTCATCTATTGCCAGCCTTCCTCCAAACCAGCCATTACTCTCATTTGGTCTACGAGACTGAACTTCAAGTGCAGAATGTAATCGAGGGGCTGCTTCAACCACCCGTCCAGGAGAACTCCTTTGGAACCGTTCACCTCGTGGAGATGCAGACCTCCTAAGTTCAATCCTTGTGGGAGAGACACGTGTTGAAACCTTTCTTTGTGAACTTAAGAATGGTCCTTCCTGTCCCAACATGGATGATCTCTGCAGTGTAAGAGCCTGAGGAGAACCTTCTCTTACCATTCTTAGGTTTGGAGGTTGAAAACCAAGGTGATCCAAATCATGATCATTATATTTAGTGAGTGCTCTATGTCCAGAAGTTTGAATTACAGAAGAAACTTCCCTTGAATGCCGAATATCCTATGAGGGCAACAAAAGAGAAAAAAAAAATCAATTCTAGGAGCATTTAAAATGCCTTCAGCTTTGAGAAGGAATAAAAGACAGTAGCAGTAAAAGTTGCACACAGAAGAACGCTCAAAGAATTTTTTGCTAACAGTGGTAAAAATTTTAAAAATAACATTTGCATTAAGAATTCTATTAAGTACAATAAGCACAAAAGAGTATGGTAATTGATTTGAAATGTTTTAAAGGTTCCAACACGTCAAATAATTTTACATAAAAATTCAGATAAAAGTAAAATATATGATGCCCGTTATTCAAATTTTCCATATTTGATATGGAGGCACAAGACGCGTCATTTACATAGACAGCATAAATTTTGCTAATAAACTGCAAATACTAGATTACTGTCATTCTCAATACAAGGCCCTCATAGCAATATTTAATTAGTTTCAGCATGTGTAAGCTAAATTGACAGTTTTTAATGATTACAAAAAATATCAACATAATGCTTAAGCAATGAACGAATAACCTTTGTAAAAAGGTTGAATAACAATACCATTGGTTTCCATCTGCAGAGTACACAGTCCATGTCCATACAAAAAATAACTACATAAAAAAGAAAAAGTATATGCTCACTGTCACAGGCCGTTCAAACTGGTGTCGAGCCTCCAAGTATTTTGGATTAACATGAATTCCATGAGATGTTTCTGAAGTTCGCATATTCCCCAAGCCACTTAGTCTCTGGCTTTCAGGTGTATAAAACTTTAAGTCATTCTCAATTTTTCTTAGTACTGAGGGTGGGAATACTTGTGACCAAGTTTGAAAAAGGTGGCGCATAGCAGGATGCAGGCCGGAATGGACGTCATTGTAGGCCTGGCAAAACGTCTTGTGATAGCCACATACAAAAGTGTAGCATTACGTAAGTATAATGTCTGAGGAAAACATTAGTCAAACAAATTACTCAAAAAGACAAAACTGCACATTCCAAAAGCAGTGTTATGAAAAGAAATAAATAGCAAGCATCAAGAAGAATGAAATGCTACAAGAAAAGTAAACATAGTATGTTTTCCAAACTATTTGGAATGTGGAGGGATGACAAGTTGTAAAGCTCAAAAAGCAAAGAAAGATGAGCCTAATTCAGATAAACAATTAGTTCACATTATTAGACTTTTCTTTTTTTTTTTGAATTAAAGTCTTAACTCATAAGCACCGTCACAAACCTGATTGAATACTTCAACGAAACTGTTAACATATTTGAGGGAGAGCTAAAACTAACAACTCAATTTCAAGCAAGGGATGAATTGAAATACACCCGATAAAAGCCCCACTTTTAGGAGCCATGACCTAGGCCCAACCCACATAATATCTTCTGTGAACATATGACTAAACATTCAATTCACCAATGGATATATAGTATTGTCTTTATAATAAAACATGAGGACAGGCTTCAATGTTGAAGGCAACCTATTCATTGGCTCATGACCAAACCAATTCATTGCTCTGCATTTCAGATGACCTTGCCTAATGTATATAAAATGCTTGATTTACCATTAACGAAAATGAAGTTTAGCTAAACACTATGAAATCCTGTTACAAGGTCACTAAGAGGTTAAAACAAATTGAAAAGAATTCTATACCATACAATAGCAATGAAAGTCAATGCCGCACAAAACAATTACCTTACAAGAGGTAAGCAGTAAGGGATTATCAATGGTGGGTGGAACAGCAGCAATGCAAGCCACTTCCACAGAAATCTATCAGCTTACAAATAGTAACAAGTGGAGCATTATTAATGGTGAGGATAGGGACACTGGAAAAGAAAAGGTAAATTGTCTGAGTGTCCCCATCCCTCCTCATCCATAACAAGCTGATGTTAAAAAAGATCCTCTTTACAAACAAGGGCCAAAAAAAAAATAAATAAATAACTGGAACTTAACTATGATTCTAATGCAACTTGCCACCGTTCTTTCTTCACAATTTCCCCTATCTCCAAAACAACACTTGTGATCCCCCAGAACAAGCCAATTTATTATCTTCTCGAGAAGAAAAGTATTGCATGTCATCAATACCAATCATATATAACAAGAATGCAAGCCACCTTAGCTTAGTGATTGAGAGCTTTGCCTTTCAACCAAAAGGACCTGGGTTCAAGGTCATATGCTTAGTGATTGAGAGCTTTGTCTTTCAACCAAAAGGACCTGGGTTCAAGGTCATATGCGATGTGTGTGTGTGTGGAAAAGAAAAAATCATATAAATAGCAAAACACAACACTGTAATGTAGGCATTGTACTAGTTCGCCAAATCTTGTTGGCCTTAACTTTGGCAAGACGAGGGTTTTAGTCTAGCTGACATCAAAAGAAATAACCTAATGAAGCTTAATAATGGAAAATCGAACTTGGGATGGAATTGGCAATCCTATCAGAATGGAAGCTCTAAACAACAACAGGCTAATTGAATTACCTCTATGCAACTTCCTACATCCAAGCCCAAACCACCAAACAAATCATACCATGGTCTATCTATCACTGCTATTTTTTCATGATAGGAAGGTTTGCAAAGCCTTCAGTTTTGTTTGATGACAGTAGGTTTTTGATAAGCTTTTGTTCTGTTGTAAGAAATGAAGCCACTAATACTCTCACGGAGATGGAGAAGCACGTTCCATCAATTGTGGAGCTTATCACACGCTAAAACAGAACTTGAAGGCTCAAAGAGACTTCTACGCTTCCACTACTCTTGAAGCTTTGGTTCCTCAACACAGTTTCCATCTTGTAGAGCAATGGGACACTACCCAGTCGGACTCTCATACTCACCCTCATGGTAGTCAACAGCTAGATAAAAATTTTTGATGAAAAATCATGACATGAATGTTTTAAATCTTTATGTAAATGTCAAAGCATCTCCTATAAACAACGAGTTATATGCCAAGAATACAGTTAAAAGTACGCAAGGACCGCTACACCGTGCCCGATTGTAGTATTAAACAAGCAAGGGTTCCCACATTGCGGACCAATGGGTGCAGAGAAGTTAGTTCATGAAACTAATATTAGGATAGAATCTTGGAATATTGGTACTCTCAAAGGTAAATTAATGAAATTAGTAGATATTATGGTTCATAAGAAGATAAAAATATTATGTATTCAAGAAACTAGATGGAATAGAGAAAATGTTAAGGAGATTATAGTTTAAGTTTTAAACTTTGATATTCATGCAAGAGTCACACTACTAATTGTGTATGTGTAATTATAGATAAGAATTTGAAAGATATTACTGTAAAAATGAATAGAATTAGAGATATAAGTATAGCTCTAAAGATTGTCGTTGATCCTATAATTTTTAATATTATAAGCGTTTATGCTCCTCTGGTAGTTTTAGATATAGGTTTAAAAGAAAATTTTTGGAATAACCTAGAAGAATTAATACAAATGATACCTCTTGAAGAAAAAATATTTATTGTAGGAGATTTAAATGGACGTCTAGGTAGAGTGGTAGAAGATTTTTTAAATATCCATGATGACTATGGTTTTAAAGTGATTAATAGAGAAGGTAGAACTATATAATTTTTCTTTAGCGTACGATTTTGTTATTGCTAACATTTTGCTTAAGAAAAGCTATGAGCATGTTATTACTTATAAAAATGGATCTAATAAAACATATTAATTATTTTCTTATGAGAAAAAGAAATCATCAAGAATGTAAAGATCGTAAGGTCATTCCAAGTAAAAATTTAAATACTCAACATCAATTTTTAGTCCTGGTTTTAAGATGAGAAATTGAAATATAAATAATACAATTAAATATTGTCATAAAATTAGATGAGGGCATCTAAAAAATAAATAAATATACTTTTATAAATAAACTTCAAGATTTCACGATTGAAGAGGATCATGAAGAAGCTATGTGGGATAAAGTAACAACCCATATGAAGTCTAAAAAAATAAGTTGTGATGCTAAAAATTCCACTTTTATTGACCTTTATAATAGATTAGATACTAAAAAACTGTGAAAAATATTATATGTATGTATGTATGTATGTGTGTGTGTGTGTGTGTGTATATATATATATATAAATAAACTAGCAAAACAAAGAGAAAAAAAAAGTAACAATTTAATTCAAGTAAAGTATATTAAAGAGGAAAATAAAAGTATTTTTCTTAGAAAAAGATATTCAACATAGGTGGGTGAGCTATTTTGATAAACATTTCAATGAAGTTTACGAAAATATGATCAACCTTAGTGATCTTAATATAGTTAATAATATCAAAACGTTTTATTTTTACAGTCGCATTAGTAAAAAAGTTGAGATAGTTTTAAAAAATTAGTAAAAAAGTTGAGATAGTTTTAAAAAAAACCAAGCTGAAAAATCATTAAGACCTGATGATATCCCGATTGAAGTGCTATAATATTTAGAAGATTTGGGAGTTCTTGGCTTAATAAACTCGTTAATATTTAAAAAAAAAAAATAAGCCTGAGGAGTGGAGGAAGAGTAATTTGGTCCTCATTTTTAAGACTAAAGGAGATGCACAAGATTGTGTAAATTATAGAGAAATTAAGTTGATGTGTCACACTTTAAAATGATGGGAGAGCGTAATTAAACATAGGTTAAGAAGTGATACAAAGATTTCCCACAATCAGTTTGGATTTATGTTGAGCAGACCTACCATGGAAGGTTTACATTTATTGATAGGTTTGGTTTAGAGAGTATGGAAGATCTACATATGATTTTTATTAATCTAGAAAAAGCTTATGATAAGGTTCCAAGAAAAGTCCTTCAAAAAGTTCTAGAGAAGAAAGATGTTGATATCACTTACATTCAAGGCATTATAGATATGCACAGTAGGATTGTTGTGTTCAAACAAGAGGATTGACCAAGTATTTTCCTATTTCAGTTAGATTACATCAAGGATCAACTTTAAGCTCATAACTTTTGGCTTTAGTTATGAACGTTCTTACCAGACATTTACAATAGGATGTACCATGTTGTATGTTTTTCACTGATTATACCCTTCTTGTGGATAAAATTAGAGAAAGGATGCAAGAAAAACTTGAATTATGGAGGTCTACATGGGAGTTTAAAGGTTTTTGATTAGTAGATCTAAAACTAAATACATGAAATGTAATTTTAGTAGTAGTAGCTCTAGTGGCAGAGATGATCAAATCATTCAAATGTGTGAACGGTTTAGATATCTCGGGTCCATTGTTCAAAGTGATGGTGATATAGATGGGGACGTTATTAGTAGAATTAAAGTTAATTGGTTGGAGTGGAGTAATGCATTGGGTATATTGTGTGATAGAAAAATACTATTTAGACTTGAAAAAAAAATTTTATAAGATGACGGTTAGACCTGCAATGCTCCATGGCGCAGAATGTTGGACTTTAAAAGAAAAGTATAAAACAAATTTAAGTGTTGCTTAGATGAGAATGATTATGAGGATGAGTGGTTTGATACTTAGAGACAGTGCAAAATGAATATATTTGTGATAGGGTTAGTGTAGCTCCAGTGGCAGACAAGTTAGAGGGAGTCGTCTTAGATGGTTTGGTCACATTAATCGTCGACCATCTGATGATCCGGTTAGTAGAGTAGATATTTTAGGTTTGACTTATGTTAAGAAAGACAGAGGTAGACCTAAAAAATGAGCACATTGTATAAAAAATGATCTAATCTATTAAAGTTAAATGAAATATGACACTCAATAGGATACCTTATCAATTGAATGTATAGTCGAGTACTTAACTTCAAAAGACCACTACATGTTTTGATGATTACATATCCCCATATATGAGTTTTTTTTCTGTTATACCACTTAAAATCTTTGGGCATGTATCATTTCTTCATATCCATTCCCCAAACCGCACCAAACTTGACCCTAAATCTAGCAAGTGTATT